CCGAAGTGATCTTGTAAAACATATCTTTTTGGATGTGGGTATTTGTTTGTTGCGAATGCATTTTGTGAATGAATGCTTTCGGTGATGTTGTTTTGGGTGTGGATCTCAGTCTAAGTGCTAAAAGGTTTGTATACATACTGTTTACAGAATGTGGTTCAAATGAAAAGTGTTGCAAGCCAAATATGAGCGTGTAGCAATCCCGAAACTATGGACTCAGGACCATGTACAAGGACACATCCCGATTGGTGGCCGAAGCCTGTGACTCGGAGGCGTCGTACATCCCATTTGTACGACAATATATTGATGCATGTAAAGAATATGAAGGTCCAAAAGAGGCAGCAGCGGGAATGTTGAAGTCTTTGAAACGAAAGTCTTCAGCCGGAGGGGAGAAAGCCAAGAAGAAGGGCAAAAAGGATATGTGATTCAGACCTGGATTCCTGGATTAGCTGATAACTGTGCCCAAACAAAATCACACGCTGTATCGTGATTTACTCTTGACTCTTGATGACTTCAATGGCTGTCCCTCTGAGAATTTTGACTGGCCGGGTTCTGGCATTCTGTGTTTCACTGCGTAGAATGCAGTTGGGTTTTCGTAAGTGTCTCAGGGCCAGGGATCAACCCTGGCTCACATGACCTGTGTCCAAAAAGGGTGGTGCCGATTGTTACACTTGCAACGAATGTGATCTGCGAATTGAGTTTTTTGACTTTGAACACATGTTTCAACCACACAAGTGCTTCTTTCGGCGTGCAATCTCTAGTTATCAACTAGTGCTAAGTGGTACTTGCCCAAGAGGTACACATGAAGAACCAACCTCATCAAGGCCTCCTCCAAAACGTTCAAAGAAGACGTGCTCCACCAAGATGTGAAATGCAGGAAGCTGTTGAGTAAATGGCCAATTTCTTTACCAGCCCTAGCTTATTAAAGGTCTGTGGAGGACTTTGACAGCCTGGGGTGCAAGCTGTTGGCAGAAGAGGTTGGGGCTGGAGATGCTCGGTTGCCCTAGACTTCAATGGCATTGCGACAAACCGTTTGCAATTCTCCATGTTACTGATTGCACTTTTAGTTTTGAAGAACAGCTGAGGGTCTGTCTGTAAAAAAGACTACGGAGATAGCTGCAGCCTTTGAAGCAGACGGGGTGAAAGGGAGCACCATCCAGCAGTTTGCAAAATCAAAGAAGGAACGTGATCTTTTTCGATGGAATCTTGGTGTGTAGATTACTGGGAATGATTTTGAATTTAAAAAGTCCTCACTTACACACCTGCCATTACTTACATGTTGTCCAAGTTTTTGCACCAGGATCAGATTGCCTTTCATGCCATACATTGTGCCTATCCCTCTTCTCATTACAGAAGGGCTGGACCAAGTCGAGAAAGAGCAAGATGTTGCTTTTGCGCTGCCATCACTTCTTGTGCATGAAATCGTGAAACGGGGAAAGAAAGTTGCCTGGCCGTGTCTTTTCAGCGAAGGTGAGGACACGATTATTTCCTTTTGGCAAGGGGAGGACCCATCATTTGTTGACCGGCTTGGCGGGTTGGAATCTCTTCGCTTCACCCTGCCTGGCAAACTTCTCAAGCTCTTGCTTCACACCAGCCCCAAATGGCATGGTCATCATTTGCATTGCAAGTTCATCCGCCTCCGTTTTCTTCTTCAGAATCTGCTTTGCAAGATCTGTTCCTGGAACAGGAAAACGTTACAAACAACAACTACCGGCTTTTGCAACTTGAAATTCAATATTAATTTGTTGATCTTGACACATCATAAGATATCCACTGTGGGCAAAACCAGTCCTTTCTCCAACGGGGAAGACTTCTCTAAGTCCTTTGCCGGCTTTTTAGGAGCCCGCTTGGGCTTAGCATCACCCTTCGCCTCTTGCACGGGCTGATCAGTCCCCAGGCTGGTTGGTGGAGACACTTCCTTCGCCTTCGGGGTCTGAGGTGTGCACGGGGCTGAGAGGGCCGGTGAACTTGGCACTTGGGAAACAGCCGATGGCGTAGCTGCAGCACGGACAGGGCGAGAAGGAGGCCGCCTCAAATTCTAAAGGAAGTCATCCGCTTAGGCTTACTGAAATCCTGTCCTATCAAGCATTTGTTTGATGCGATCAAGTCACATCAAGTCAGTAGTCATTCCAATGTTTCCAGTATCGATCTTCAGCTCTCCGCTTGACACTCGCTTGCCTCATTACGCATGACAAAAGCATTATTTCAAATCGTTCCTGCAAAAAATCTAAGTTCAAGACGGTCTTCATTGATAGATCCTGACTCCCTGGACACATGTGTTTTTCATGGCGCCAAGACATCAAATGCGATCAAATGTCATTCTTTGAGGTTACTTCAAGTCCGCGCCTTTTAGAGCGCATCATCAAATACAACTTCTTGCCGGGCAAGTTGACGTCAGCCTCGTACAACCCTTGAGCTACTTTGTGAGCCATCACCTTTTCAGCTTCCTTCTCTCCATAAAGTTGCACGAGCTCAAGTTCGGTCATAGGCTTCATGGAGCTGACATCTTTGTCCCAGGTTGCTTTCTCTGACGTTGCTGTGTGAAGGTTGCATTCAACACCTGGAGATCATTGCCCAAACTCTGCAACTGTGCAGTGAGCTCACTTGGGATTGAAGGAGATGCCAACAATCTGGCTTGCAGGTCAGGATGCACAGCCTTCAGTCTCTCCGGGTTGTTCCGCAACCTTTGCAACACGTTAAATGCAGCACGTCGGGAGGTAACAATGGCAACCTGATTTTCACCCGGACTCTTCGTTTTCTCCGGGAGCTCGAAGCTGAATTGATGTTGCTTGGGTCTCTCTGCAGGGGGTCCAGCCGAAACGACACCCGTGGCATTCTGCACCTGCTTCTCCACCTGTGGTGCTTCAACAGCCTTTGGTGTCTCTGGAGTCTCCTCTACAACTGTTGTGGTGGCAGCTGGCTTTGATTGGCCCCAGCCCATCTTGATAAGAAGTTGATCAGAAGCTGGGTCAGCACTGGGTGGAACGCCTTTCTCATCAAAGTGATAGCCAAGCCCAACGCCATCCTTCAATCCAAAGCGCTTGCCAATTTTCTGGCCCTTGAAAGTGTCACGTGGCTCAAAAGCCTTGTCCAAGGAATAGCCAGAGTGCAGGCGGCCACTGTGCTCAATGGTTGTGTAGACGTAGCCCTGCCATTGGCCAATCCATGGGGACTCTTTGAACAGAATCTGGTCCTTGCCGTCTGCCTTCAGGATGAGCCGCTGCTGCTTCTCTTCATGAACCGTTTTTGTGCCCTCGTGGGGCAAACTGATGGTAAGTCTGACGCCCCAGCCAAGAGCCTGCACATCTTCCAAGGTATCACTGGAGGCATTGGAGCATTGCACAGGGCCAATCTGATCGGTAGCTGGCGTGCTTTCCTTTTCGGGAACCTTTTCCTGTTGTCTCAAAAAATTGTTGAACCCCATGAGCAGTACACACAAAAATGGACAAACAATGAAAACAGAACGAATGAAGTGTTGGTCCTCATCGTGCTTTGTCAATGCTTCGTCCCCGGCTTTATCCTGTTGTGTGAAAGCGGTGTGTTGTTGCGTCCAAATAAAAGGATTTATATAGAAGAGCAGATTGAAAGTGAAAAAGCCCTTGAATTTCTCCAAACCTCAGCTTCCGCTTTGGCCTTCTCAGCTAAGGCTTTCTCTTCCTTTTTGTTGAAGAGTAAATGAAAGCTGAAGAGCTGGAGAGCAACATACCGACTCAAATGAACAGCTGAAAATGAAAGTC